CCGCCTCCGCCGCCTCCGCTACTGCCGCCGCCTCCACCGCCGCCTCCACCGCCGCCTCCACCGCCGCCTCCTCCGCCACCTCCGCTCCCACCGCCACCGCCGCCGCCGCCTCCGCCTCCACTGCCGCCACCGACCCCCCCACCCGCACCTCCGCTCCCACCGCCACCCCCACTACCCCCACCGCCTCCACCCCCACCTCCACCGCCCGCTCCTCCAGCTCCCTTGCCCCCCTTGCCCTTGCCAGGGCGGCGTCTCCCGCTAGGGGCAGACGCCGCACCGACCGACTCAAGACCAAGGAGGTCGGCCGTAGCAGCAGAGGCAACAGAGGGCAGCAGGGGGGAGGGGGAACACCCCTCAAAGATGGGGGTGCGCGGGTCACCTCGAGAGGCTCCTACAGCGACTATACTCTTCTCCGCTGCTAAGAGGGCCTTCTCGAGGAGATCGACAGTGAGTGTGGTGGGACAGACTGAGAGAAAGTGGTCCCTGACTACTCGAAGGGAGTGAGGAAGGCGAGTGACTAGGAAGTACATAGTGATGTACATGGGGGGGGGGGGGGGGGGGGTTCTTGGCGCAGAAGTCAGCAGGGAGTGCAGCGCGGTCGCGAGTGTCACTAGTGCGGAGGTGCGTAATGAGGTCAGCCACGGCGGGAAAGGCAGCAAGGTCAGGGAAGAGGTACGGTAGCATGAGACGGCTCAGTGCAGCAGTGGCAGGGGAGGAGTAGCGCGCGACTACAGCGTCGTACAAGGTCTGAGCACTCTTGTACTGACTAAAGTGCGCACGCTCGGAGGTAGGGAGGTGGCGACGCACAGCAAGACGTGCAGCAGCGTCGCGCGTGGCCCACTGGGAGCGAACAGTGGCGTCAGCATCAGCAGCAGGGGCAGGGGAAGCGCCAGAGGTAAGGTCAAAGAGAGAGAGGCCGTCTGCCCTATCGCACTGTAAGAACAGCTGCAGGTCGTCTACCCAGACCTCAAAGTCAATGGCCCGACCCTCAGCGTCAAAAGCGAGGACACTAGGGGTAGCCATGACGACAGTAGCCTAGCAGTACGAACTGTAGGACAGGGGCAGTGCAGTGACAGGAGCGCTGCTCTCACCAGACAGGGCGGGTCGGGCAGCTCAGCAGCACAGCAACACGGCTGCTCGAACGGCTCAGCAGCAACTGCGGTTCGGGCGGCTCGGGCGGCTCGGCTCCACAACGGCTCAGGCGGCTCGGGCGGGTCGGGCGGCTCGGCTCCTCAGCGGCTCAGGCGGCTCGGGCGGCTCGGGCGGCTCGGGCGGGTCGGGCGGCTCGGCTCCTCAGCGGCTCAGGCGGCTCGGGCGGCTCGGGCAGGTCGGGCAGCTCGGGTGGCGCGGGCGGAGTAGGGCCGTAGGGCCGCTGGTAGGGCGGTGGGGCCGCAAGGTAGGAGGCGGCGGGGCCGTAGCAAAGAACGGCGGGGCCGCAGCGAGAGGGGCGGCGGGGCCGCAGAGACGGGCGGCGGGGCCGCAGTGAGAGGCGGCGGGGCCGCAGCTAGAGAGGCGGCGGGGCCGCGGAGATGGGCGGCGGGGCCACAGAGACGGGCGGCGGGGCCGAAGTGAGAGGCGGCGGGGCCGCAGCGAGAGAGGCGGCGGGGCCGCGGAGACGGGTGGCGGGGCCGCTGAGACGGGCGGCGGGGCCGCAGTGAGAGGCGGCGGGGCCGCAGCGAGAGAGGCGGCGGGGCCGCGAAGACGGGCGGCGGGGCCGCTGAGACGGGTGGCGGGGCCGCAGTGAGAGGCGGCGGGGCCGCAGCGAGAGAGGCGGCGGGGCCGCTGAGAGAGAGGCGGCGGGGCCGCAGAAAAGGGCGGCGAGGCCGCTGAGACAAGCGGCGGGGCCGTAGTGAAGGGCCGCTAGGGCGGCTCGACGAAGTGAGGGCCCGGAGCCCGACTCGGGCTGAGCGCGCTTCGGGCAGGAAACAAAAAAAAACTCGATGTGGTGGGCCCTAAGCACAGTTCCCAACGGGGAACCTGCTCGATACCATGAGAAGATTAGAACGAGAATGATGAACTATGAAATGAAGTGAGTACAAATATGAAACCCTAATTGGTTGTACCCCCTATGGGATACCCCACTATAGCCTACACAACAGCATAAGCTATAATGTTCTGACAGGGCAGGCACCTGTCCAGCTTGACCCCAATTTTTTTTGCCGTTGCCAGGTTGACGAGACTGTGGCTCGCCCCACCGTCAACGAATAATTTTATTTTATACCCGTTAACCCTCCCCACGACCAGCACAGGGTGATTCACGTATTCATCCACCTTATTCGTCCGGTTGCGGTCGATAGCCCGTATCGGTACCACTACTCGGTGTGGATGTTGATTGCCAGGCGACGGGGTCGCGTCAGTATGTGGCCCGACTGCTACTGACTCGTCTCTTTTCCCGACCCCTCTCCGTCGTTCCTGTTTCCCTGTTTCAGCTTCGGGCATTCCTTCCTCCAGTGGCCCGGTTGGTTGCAGTTGAAGCACGTGTTAGGTCCACGTCTTGGTGCATCCACCCCGTTGATTGTGGGCTGGCGCGGCGGTCCACGAAATTGAGTGCCCTCCCGGGAACTCATTCTCGCCCATTGCATCAGCGCATCCGTTGATTCAGCCACCTGGACGGCCTCGAAAAAACCACGTGGCCTCGCCCGTCGCACCTCGTACTGTATTTCGTACTTGAGGCCTGCGACATATCGGTCGAGTCGCTCCGCGTCGCTCATATCGTCCACTCGGTCAGCCAAATTGCAGAATGTTGCTGTGTAATCTTGGACCGACGCCACCTGCTTCCAGGTGCGCAGCTTCATGCGAGCAGAATCCGAGGCGGATACATGCTCGAATCTGGTTCGCAGCGCGGCGCCCCACTCCGTCCATGTGCGTATCGTGGCCACTCCGAAGATTGAAGTTGCCTGTTGCGTGACAGTTGTCCAGGTCCCGTCGTTCGCACGTGATATCCCTGCCGGAGCCCCCTCTGGCTGAAGAGTCCGCTTCCACCACTCCAACGCCGGTCCTCGTAACAGTGACACTGCAAAATTAATGCGGGTAGCATCATCAGCAATTTGCGCAGCATTGAAGAACACCTCTACACCGAACAACCATGCCGACACAGTGACGGTCTTGTCACTGGGGTTGAACGGGGGCGGGTTCGTCGGCTTTATTTTAACAGTTGTTGAGACTGTTGCTGCTGTATGCATCGGGGGCGCCACTGAAGCCATCACCGGGGTTGTCGCTGTTGCCTGACGTGGCGTAGTCTGCGACTGTTGCCTCGGCGCCGCTCGTGTCTGTTGTTGCGGCTGTGACTGTTGTTCCTGTGTCCCTTGTGCTCGTTGCGTCCGTGCCGTCCACTCATCTTCAGCGTCCTGCGAGTTTTGTAGCTCGCTGAGGACCTCGTCGTTAGGCGCGAAGCTGCTACTTGCTTCATCCACGTGTCAGTAGATCTGCACTGTGGATGCCTGATTGATCCTGGAGAGGGTTACAGGCGCGATCGCCTGGGGGGCTATGGGCGCACTGACCCGCTACTGAAACAAGCCCTTTTATCCCAATGGTCTAGTGGTTGGGATTCTGACATGGTATCAGAGCGGTCTCGGGTTCAATTCCCGGTGTATGCACATGTAGGCCGTTGCCGCTGTGCTTAGTCCTGGGCCTCCCAGTGTGGGGGGGTGTCAGTAGATCTGCGCTGTGGATGCCTGATTGATCCTGGAGAGGGTTACAGGCGCGTTCGCCTGGGGGGCTATGGACGCACTGACCCGCTACTGAAACAAGCCCTTTTATCCCAATGGTCTAGTGGTTGGGATTCTGACACCACGGCGGGCGACTCCTGACGCGCTTCACCTCGCGTCTGGCGTAGCTCGGCGTTTTCCACCCTCAGGCGATCCAATTCGCCAGACATAGTCTGCATGTTGGATTGCATTGCCCGAAAGTCCTGTAAGAACACGTCAAACTCTGCTTGCGTCATATTTCGGAGACTCATCCTAGCGGGCAGCGGGTTAACAGCGATTTTTATGGTTTTGATGAAGGCGCAAACGCTATTAGTCGGAGCGAGATAATCGTATCTATCTCTCAGCCGTCCGTTTTGCAGCCCACCAAACCTATCGCACCCCTGCACTAAAACTACCCCGGAAAGTGGAGGGTAACCTAGGAAAGTAGCTCTGATACCAAGTGTTATGAGTTGTATGAAAGAAGAGTGCGCAGAATGCAATATCGCGGAAGTGATTACAACTACTGAGCAAACAACGAGGCCTAGGCATAATATAGCACAGCTAGCTAAGCCGAGGTCGCGGAGTCGCGCGAAGGTTGGGTGTAGGTTTGGGGTTGGGAAACCCGAAGGCGACGCGGGAGACGTTCGGGAGGCGAGGTCGACGGGCCGAGCCTGAATTCCGGAAGTTGGAATTGTACGCGTAAGAGGTGCCTCAGTAAGGAATTAGCGAAATTCCTTACATGTTGCTATTGTATGTTACTATGTCTGCATGTTCTTGTGCCAAGCGTGCATGAGTTTGTGCAAGCAACGTGTGCTGCAGGTGTACAAATCTTTCCAGTTCGTAAGGATGTCATCCTTCAATCCGCCTGGTGGTACAACGCTTGATGGTGGGATGCAAAGGCACCGCGTGTAATGAATTCACAATTCATTACCGTAGCCTTACCTTAGCGGGGATGTCCCGAAAGCATCGCGTCAGTTGGGCTCAGCCTTCAGCCTCGACCGAACCACATTCGAGTAGCTCCTGCACCATTCGCCGCATTTCCTACCCTCGCATGTCCCTAGGTCCTCGCCTAGCTAGGACATTCCCTATAATTGCTCGCTTCCTTCATTGCATGGTCACATTCGCTTTATAGAAGTCTTCCGCATAGTACAACTCATACTGTAACATCGTGGAAGAACATTCCGGTAAATGGTACCGGTAAAACAATCATTGATTGTAGGACACCTCAGGGTTAGATATATATGGTGTCATCTATAATACATGTTGAGACTTGCAAACATATATATAATATAACACATTATCACCCAGTAACGGTTACACAGCAGAGTAACAGGGCAGTGGAAACATAAACGTGTTGGTCTGTGCAGGGTCAAACACGGGGGGAGAGAGAAAGCCGTCTTCTGTCATGAAGCGACACGCCTGGCTGTGGAACAGCGTGCACAACCCTGGGGTGGGGAGGGATGGGGATGGGAGGGGGACAGGGTGGCAGAGGACAGGCAGGAGGTTACGAAAAGGAGGCGTAATAGGAAGGTCAAGGGTGTTTCCAGAAAGCCGTCTTCTGTCATGAAGCGACACGCCTGGCTGTGGAACAGCGTGCACAGCCCTGGGGTGGGGTGGGGAGGGATGGGGGGAGTACAGGGAGACAAAGAGGCATGAAGCCAGCAGACTGGCAGTGTTACGGTACTATATTTAAAGAAAAGCACACACACACACACACACACACACACACACACACACACACACACACACACACACACATACACGCACGCACGCACGCACGCGCACACACACACACACGCACAAAGGGGGTGTGTTTCCAGCAGACAAACCTCTGTCGTGGTCCCCCTCCTTTGCCTCGTGCTGTCATGTCCAGTAGTAGCAGTTGGGAGTGGCCCCCACCTTGCACACCTCACAGCACACGCTACTGCTCGAATGACCTGCCTCTTCCACCGCATTGAACTGCATTCAACAGCATTCCATCAAAATCAACTGCATTCCACCACAGCCAACCGCCTCACCTCTGTCATAATCCCCCTCCGTGGGATCGTGTTGCCATGTCCGGTAGTAGCAGTCATTTGCCGCCCCCGCCTTACACGCCTGACAGCACCCCACAATGCTCAGATACCCGGTCTCGTCCACCCCACTCCACCACATTCAACCAAGATCAACCGCATTTCCGCAATGCACCTCTATCGTTTGCCTCACCTCTGTCATAATCCCCCTCTGTGGGATCGTGTTGCCATGTCCAGTAGTAGCAGTCATTGCTTGCCCCCGCCTTACACGCCTGGCAGCACCCCCCAATGCTCAAATACCCCGCCTCGCCAATCACGCTCCACCCCGCTGCCGGCGATTCCACACCGTACAGCCTCCCCCGCGCCACGTTAGCCGCTGCTGACGTGGCAGGCGCTGACGTGTCACTGTATAACTGCGTGATTGCGCTGGTGCCAGCTGGACAGGCGGAGAGACAGCCGGAGAAGGAAGGACAGGTGGTGTTGCCTGTGGTAGTGGTGCTACTGCTTCCGGTGCTGCTGCCTCCACCACTGCCACTGTTGCCACCGCTGCTGCTGTCCCCTCCGCTTCCCCCTGTCCCCGCTAGAGGATCATCCGGTCCCCCGCCTGCCGTCCCTGCGCCTGTTCCACCGCCCGCTCCGCCATTGCCGCCCGTGCCGTCGGAGCTGCCCGGGGTCGGAAGGGCGGCGTCTTTAGGCGCCTTGCGGAAGGAGAAGGAGACTTTGGGGGAGGAGACGGGGTGGTGGGTGCGGGGGGAGGAGGCGGGGGCGGAGGCGGGGCGGGAGAGCGCGGAGTAGGCCTTGCTGGGGGCGCACTGCTGGCTGGAAAAGAGCTGACACGTGCCTGGCGGTGGGGGCAGGGTGGGGGGAGATGGAGGGGATGGGGGGGAAAGAGGGGCCGGGGAAAGGAAGGTGTGGGAACAAGAATAGCAGGGAGGAGGCGGGGCGGGAGAGCGCGGAGTACGCCTTGCTGGGGGCGCACTGCTGGCTGGAGAAGAGCTGACATGTGCCGCGGTGGGGTAAGGGCGGGGGGGGGGTGGGGAAGGGAGGGGGGGAAAGGGGGAAGAGGGGAGGGAATGGGGAAAGGAATGTGGGAACAGGAACAGAGAGGAGGCGGGGACGGAGAGCGCGGAGTAGGCCTTGCTGGGGGCGCACTGCTGGCTGGAAAACAGCTGACATGTGCCTGGCGGTGGGGGGGAGAAGGGGAAGGAGCGAGAAAATGGGGAGAGGGATGTGGGAATAGGAACAGAGAGAAAGCGGGGGTGGAGATGGCAGAGTAGGTGTTGCTGGGGGCGAACTGCTGGCTGGAAAACAGCTGTCACGTGCCTGGCGGTGGAGCGGGGGGGGGGGGGAGGGAAACAGGGGGACGGCGGGACGATTGAGGTAAGGAGGAAGAGGGGGTCAAAATTCAAACTACAGACGGTGAAAGGAAGAGAGGAGGAGGGGGGACGCGGAAGAGGGAAGAGCGCACCTTTGATGGAATCGAGCCTCCGCGTGAACGTCCAGTACTCGCATTGGTCGTTGAGCGCGCACAGCGAGCAGCACTCCTCGATGTAGACCGCCGTGTCGCGCTCGTCCTTGTTCAGCCACGTGGCATCCGCTGGGCTGTTGCGCACCCCGGGCACCTTGTGCGGCCGCAGCGCGCCCCACACCGCTCCTGGGAACTCCGTTTGGGAATCCTGGTGGGCGGCAAGAGAATGAAGCGGGAGTTGGGGTGGGGGAGATGGGGAGAGAGGGAGGGGGGGGGGGGGGGGGGGGGGAAAGGTGGGGGATGGGGTGGAGGAGGGTCCTGTCGTTAAATGTCCCTGACAACGTATGCGGCCCACGTGTCGGTGCGCAACACGCGAGACGCGAAACGCGAAATGTCAGAGCGCAAGAGGCGCACCTCGTGTTGCGGGAGCGACTCGCTGGAGGGGCAGCTGTCGAGCTTGAGCGAGACGACAACATACTACAGTAACGCCTGGGCAACGATGGACTCAACGCAAAGCGCGCGCGCACCTCGAGTTGCGGGAGCGACTCGCTGGTGGGGCAGCTGTCGAGCTCCGGCCACGGCGACGGGCAGCTCAACGCGGAAGCGCCCTTCTTACTCCCGCCGGATTTTCCGCCGCGGCTCCCGCCGGATTTCCCGCCGGATTTCCCCCCACGGCTCCCGCCGCCAGGTTTGCGGGATGCATTGGAGGTGGCGAGAGGGCTCGGGCGGCACGAGACGGAGAGGAGCGAGGAGAGCGCGAGGAGGAGGAGGACGGGGAGGAGGGGGAGGGTGCGGGCCATGGTGAGCGCTTGTGCGGGCTAGTTGAACATACCGTGGCGGCGAAAGGCGATTGGCGTTCGTGGCGCGCTTTGGGCCCTATTGCGAGGGAGGCGATGCTACGAGGTGTTTGAGCGAAAGAATTTCGAGGTGGCTTTCAAGTCGACTCAAGAAAAACGGCGCGACGGATCTGAAGTGACGGCTCGCTGTAGTACGGGCTCTCAGAGAAGCTCTATCTTCTACGCGCTCGCACGATACGCTTTCAAGAAGCGATCTTGGAAGGGGAGGAGGGGGGAGGGGGAGGGGGGGTGGGAGGGGGGGGGGGGGGGGGGGGGGGGTTGGGTCGGAACCCTTGTCGGCGGAGCGCACGCTGTACGCGTTTCAACCCGAACGCCTTATCTTCCGAAGCTGGCTGGACGGACGATTGAGTTACTGGGAACGGCGCCGTTACGAACAAGCATGCAAGCAACCTTATCTTCCCCCTGCGAAGCTAATCTGCGATATGGAACAAAATCGACTCCGCGGATGAGACAAATGCTGGGGACAACCAGTGTTCTGAGCGGCTAGAATGCTAAGGTGTGCCACGTATCCGTTTCTCCTGCGTTTGACGGCGCATTCGGTTTCGACTTCCGTCTTCGTTCGTTAACTAGAGTACTTGCTCGTAGAGTACACCGAAGCTGCTTGTACTTAACTAGCCTGTGCTACTCCTTAATATCACTCATAAGTAGCACTGTACTCACCTGATGTAAGGACAAGGTAACTAGGGAAGGGAAGGACTCGACTCAACGAAAGCTGGCGTTAGTTTGTATTTTGCTTCAGTAATGTACGGTGCAGTACGATATAATGCGTTCGAATAGGAAAAAACTGTTACAATGGCTTGGGCTTGGTCGGTTGGTGGAGGCAGGGGGGCGGTGCCACCAAAGAATTCAGCTGAACCGACCGCAACTGCACCCCGCCCCGCTGCGCCTGGCTATTGGTCTGGTCCGGACTACGAGCGAAACGTCCATCAACACAGTCCCTAATGCCAACGGAACAGTTCAGCAGCGAGCGATTCTGCTCCTCACTTGCGTCTTGTTCATCATAATCTTCTGCTGCGAGGCGCAGGGGGGGTTGCGCCGCCAGAATTTCCGTATTGGATCGAAACTCGACAACGGAACATGGGTGTAGCACTAGTCACTACATTGCATTCATGTATATATGGAGGCACAGCTACTTTCTGTTAGACTGCACAATAATCGTTTTGTCACCAAATCTGGTTTTTTTTCATCATGTCATCTTGGCTGAAATAAGGAATCAAAATATTTATTATATTATCATCTCACGCATTGTTGCATGCTATCTATGACATTGCATCGCAGGCCATACTTAGAATAGGTTTTCGTGATAGGCGTTTAGGTGGTGAGTACCTATCGTGAGTGTATGGGAGGTGTGTTTGTGGTCCTCTGATAATAATGAATGGCTGTTCCTGTGGCATCGAATCCATGTCCACGTCAAACTGTAGGCTGGATGCTCTTTACACGTGGACCAGGTTGTGTGAAGCATCCTCATCTAATCCAGCGGCTCTTACGTCATCGGGAGTCACGAGCTTCCCCTCCGAAACTGCCGAGGGGTCACCTCATCTCGTCGCCCTGGAATTCTGACTCGGATTGACTGATCTGGTGTGGCACGGGATTCCGCATGACATTCTGGCGAAGGGGAGAAACAACTGCTCTCTGTAACTTCGCAGCGCGTTTCTGACACATCCCAGTAGTTCGCACAGTTTCGTCATTGTCGCTTCTTGGCCTGACTGTCACATCCATTCTTTCGCAACAGCAGATCCATCTCTCAAACTCTCACAATGCAAAAAAGTCGGATGGTTACAAAGTTACTAGCCCCTGTCCCAACAGCCGGGCTTTATTTTCCCCATCTCCAACGTGTGGCCATGGATGATGAAATTATCACGGTTCAGCCTAACAGGTCGGAACAGCTTGTTTAGCAGCTTGTTCAGCTGTTTGCGTCGTCTCTTACTAGCCCTGGACTGGAGCATTCCGCTTCGAGACTTTTCTAGTCCCGTCCTGCCCCAGGTGTGGCATAATGCTTTTATGAACGCCCATCTCGATCACGCTTCTCCTGGCAAAGAACGCATTTTGTTTCACTAGCTCAACCAACGTCCGGTTTACCTGTAAACCAGCTTCTCTACCTAGTCTCGTGTCGCCCTATTTGAAATCACAGTCCGCCAGCAGCATCATCTAGACGACCAGGCCACAGGATGGGTTGGGGAGGCATTACCTGGGCTATCCCTCGGCCCAACGCGCAATCACTGCTTTCATGGGGTCACATCGACCTTCCCTGGTCCCCCAGCCCTCACACTCTCTCCGTCCCCATCCTCCCTACTCTCCTCCTCCTCCTACTCGGGTTTATCCCAGCCATATCTCTCCTCTTCTTTTCCACGTCATCCTCCAGTCGTAAGCGAAAGGGTGCGAAAGCCGGCGAGGGCGAGGCGAAACTGGTAACCGGATCGTCCGCGATCTGGTCGTCCACCTGGGTGCTGTGGCTTCGCGGAAAGTTCCCTCCAGGTCCCTGGGGTTTGCCGTTCTTCGGCAGTCTGCCTGACATCCTCCGCGATGGCGATCCGCACCGTAGGATCACGGATCTCGCGGAGATCTACGGTCCAGTAATGGGGATGCGTCTCGGCCGAACCCCAACGGTCGTCCTCTCCTCTCCAGCCGCAGCGCGCCAGGTTTTGCGGGATGCTGACATGGCATGCGCATCGCGGCCGGCGGCGATCACGTCCGCGTTATTAACTCACGGACCGCGCGATCTCGTGTTCGCGCCGTACGGGCCGCCTTTCGTGCATCGACGGAAGCTCGCGACGAGCCACCTATTCACGGCGGAGCGCATCGCGGCTTGGCGCGGAGTGCGGGCGGACGAGGCGGAGGGGATGGTGGCTGCGGTGGTCGATGAGATCGCTGCGGCGGAAAAAGCGGCGGGGGAAGCGGAGGGTTCCGCGTGGGCGGAAGTCGAGATCCGCCCGCATCTAGCGCGGGTGTCTCTGAACAATATTCTCCGCATGAGCTGCGGGCGGCGGTACCAGTTCAGCCGCCCGGGAAAGCCGGACGCTCTCGCAGACGAGGTTAACTCCGTGATCTTTAAGATCGCGGGGCTCCTAGGGCCGTTCAACTACGTCGACCACGTGGCGGAATGGGATTGGTTCGACAAGTGGACCGGCGGGCTGACAGGCAAGTGCCGCGTACTTGCGCCGAAGCTTCAGAAATTCTTCCGGGGAGTGCTGGACGACCACCGCAGGATGCGGAGAGAGGAGGAGGGGAAGCGCGCGAAAGAGGCGGAAGCGGCGGCAGCGGAAGCGGCGGCGGCGGCGGCGGCGGAAGGGGAGGGGGAGGGGACGGAAGGGACGGGTAGCGAGGGTGAGCAGAGGCGCGGGGTGATGGAAGATGCTTCCACGTTCGCACCTTTAGAGAATCCGGAAGATCCGGAGAGGGACTTTTTAGATGTGCTTCTGATGCTGCAGAAACAGCAGCAGCAACAACAAGAGCAGCAGCAGCAGCAGCAGCAGCAGCAGCAGCAGCAACAACAAGAGCAGCAGCAGCAGCAGCAGCAAAAGCAGATGAATGGCAGTGCCAGCGCTGATGCCAAGGAAGAATCTAAAGGTGTAAATGGTTCCGTGAACGGGGGTTCTGGGTTCGGGGTTGGTAAAACCCCTGTTGCTGCAGCGGTAGCGGCAGGAGCAGCGGCGGCGGCTGGGTCTGGCTTGGTGGTAGATGACGTGGAGATCACTTCGCTGCTACAGGATCTGCTTGTAGCGGGTACAGACACTGCAGCGGTTAGCACAGAGTGGGCTTTAGCGGAACTAGTTAACCGGCCAGATGCAATGAAGCGGCTACAAGCGGAGATAGACGGCGCGCTAGAACAGTGGCACAGAGATCACGAATCGGATAAGATCAAATCGCAATCGGATCTCGAGGCGGCGTGGGAGCAGACGGGGGGCGAAGCGTTGCTCATGCGGTTACCCTATCTCCAGGCAGTCGTGAAAGAGATGCTTCGCATGCACCCTCCAGGCGCGTTCCTGATCGCCCATAGTACCACTGGCCCTGTAGATCTCTGTAGCGGCAGGTACAGGGTTCCTGCAGGGACTATGGTGCTAGTTAATGTGTGGTCTATTTCGCGCGACCCGAGCCTCTGGCCCGAGCCTGACAGGTTCGTGCCAGAGCGGTTCCTGCCCGGAGAAGTTTTCGAGCTGCCCGAGAGCGGAACAGGGGAGGGTGTGAAGCGGATAGTGGGGGAGGAGGTGGATATGAGAGGATTTGATTTCCGCCTGCTGCCGTTTGGTTCGGGCAGGCGAATGTGTGTCGGGCAGAGGCTCGGGCACCAGCTGGTTACCATCATGCTGGGTCGGCTCGTGCACGCCTTCAACTGGGAAGCGCCTGTTACAGGCTCTTATAAGAGTGACTGTAACGGGAGTGGATATAACGGGGGAGATTGTAACAAGGTGGATTTGAAGGAGAGGTATGGGCTTGCAATGAGGATGGTGCAACCTCTGAAGGCCCGTGCATCACTGCGAGTGGGAGAGGATGGGAGACGGGCGATTGAAGCGTGGGGAGTGGGGAAGAGGGGAAGCAGGAAGTAGGATTCGATTGGATGAGTTTAGAGCGGTTGTCTGCGGTGGAGAGCTACGGGTTGGCGATGAGGATGGTGCAGCCTTTGAAGGCCCGTGCTTCCCTGCGAGTGGGAGGGGATGACAGGCGGGCGATTGAAGCATGGGGAGTGGGAAAGAGGGGGAGCAGGAAGTAGGGCTTTTAGGCCACTGGTTGGTTGAAGAGCAGGGTTTGTTGTTGCATTGGATGGGTTGAGGGCGGTGATGCGTGGTGGAGATGTCTGTGGCTGCCCAAGAGGATGGTGCGCCCCTCGAGGCCTGTGAGTCGCTGCCAGTGGGAGGGGATGGCAGGCAGGCAATTGAAGCATGGGGAATGGGAAAGAGGGGGAGCAGGAAGTAGGGCTCAAGCCACTGGTGGAGTCGTGTGGATGG